CTCTCTCTCTCTCTCTCTCTCTCTCTCTCTCTCTCTCTCTCTCTCTCTCTCACACACACACACACACACACACACACACACACACACACACACAGGAAGAGAGGCGCAGCCAGGGCTTATCAGGAAGGAGAAGACGCTTCTGCGTTGCCAACTTTCCATTTATAACGGTCAAGGCATGACAAAATTGTTCTTTTACAAACTGACGGGATTATCCTTCATGATTGAAAAACGTTACAGAGGAATTAGGAGGGAGTCGGCGGTGGAAGCAAGTATGGCGGATAGAAAAGAAGGTTTGGACGACCAGTGAGCCGCTAGCAGACATACTACTGCAGCCAGCACACATAAAACCATACCATGCACAGCACAACACAATGCTCCCCACTACTGCTTGCCACCGCAAGCGGAGCTGTGGTGGGAAATCACTTGTTGCCTAGGCTACCAGCCGGGCCGCCCGGGTCACCCTATTTTCCCGGGCGGCCCGGCCGTGCAAGGACCAGGGAAGGTCCCGACCAAAAAATAAAAAAATCCAAAAAATCCGAAAAAAAACTATGTTATGCAGAAAAATAAATTGAACAACTTTTGCCTCAGGGTCACATCGAAATTCTGTACCAAATTTAAAATAAAAATTTAAATAAAAAATAATTTTTATTTTTTTATTTTTTTTTTCCTTTTTGGCCCGGCCGGGCAAGTGGACCCAGGCCACTCTGGTAGCCTAGCTTGTTGCACGAAATAGCTATTAATCATGCTCAAAGCTACCCACTGCCACGCAAGCAGAACTGTGACCGCAATTACAAAATAAATGACAAATAATCATAATGAACTACCCGGAGTCGGCCACCAGTTGATATGTCCCAAGGCAAACCCCCTTAAACAGAAAGAAAAACCTCCGGGTGGTGGTCCTACATGCATGGGCGTGAGGAATTCACACTCATGGATGAACGTGGAAGTTTTACAACACTGTCAGCAGGACTATTCCTTCCTGGGAGAATGATGCTCCATCGCGGAGTCAATTACCCTGAAAAAGTAATATGTGCATACAATAGGCAGCCGGGTATAGGGAAGTAACTCCACGAAAAGAGTGTAGCAGTTATAAAAAAGAGGATTTGAACAGAGGGTGTGACTGATAGGATGGACAAAGGAGATTGGTGTAAAAATTAGACGAGACTTGAGGATTCAATGGGAAGCCGGGATAGGGAAGGATCTAGACTAAAAGAGTGTTAGTAGGCACAAAAAAGAAGGTTGAACTGCAAGGAACCCGACTGTTCATCACTTGCTGGAGTGCATCAGATCACATGCATATACACTGATTTCACAGATTGCGAAGTCTCACACCAAAGCCCAATAGAAGATGAATGAGAACCAGGAAGCTCAACTCAATTATCAAACCCAGAATTAGAGAGAGAACATCGTGAGTTCAAAGAGTATAGCGCTGAACAGAGTTCAAGTCTTCTTCAATCAACATGAGTTCCAAGCCTGGCGCTCATCAGCGTCAGCTGCCAAACGTCAACAACAGCGCTCAACAGGTAAGTGTCACCATAGCTCACACTTCCCCCTCTCTCGTCCGCCTTCTTCTCTCTCTCCCTCTATGTCTGTAGTCCTGGTCTACCTTCACTCATCATGCATGCACACTCCCTATCACACGAGGATCTACTCTGAATACTACTCACTGGTATCTTCTCTCATGTGAAGTGAGCATCTGTCAAATGGGAGGCTGGCCAGTCCTTTATAGGGCTGGACTGGTCTGGCATGGCTTGCGTTCAGCCTCAAGTGTCCCTGGGACTCCTGCCCAGTACCCATTGTTGCAAAGAGTGTGTCCCAGTGTCTTTTCCCATGGTCTGCTGCTGCTTTGGGCCATCGGGCCTGTCTTTTGGACTCCTGGTCTGAATCAGGACTGACTCGTGGAATTATGACTGAACTGGGACTGTAGCCTTTGACTTATTGCCGAACAGACATGACTTTTTTATCGAAGAGACATGACCCTAACTCAGTCTTGAAAACTGTGTCCGATACCTGTTCGTGCAGGACCTGTTTGTGACTGTTCGAAACAACTTTTCATTTCGTTATGGATGCGACATATGCCTCAGGTAACTTTGTCTTTTGAGTTGCTGCTCGTGAATTTAAGTTCTGGCCGACAGGGCCCCTCACTGTTGGGGTGTTCTTCTGGGTTCTAATTCGTAAAGGCCCTTTTAGAACAGAGGGTGGGACTGACAGGATGTGAGGCCCGTGCGACTGCTAGAACGGCCCCCCCGGGCCAGGCCTTCCCTGGGGACCCTTCTGTTGTGTGGCTGGGTGCTACGAGGAAGAAGAGGGATCGGTTGTAGCAATCCCCCCCTTGTTAGGTGTGTAGGGCCACAAGGATAAGGCTTTCCTCTTTTCCTACAAATAAATTGTACTTTGAAACTCAAGCTTGCCGGTGATAAGCAACCGGACTGCTGCCCCCCAGAATAGAAGGGGCTGTTTTGAAAAAAAAAAAAAAAAAGAGAAGTAATATCATTACTAATATGTGGTTAAAGGGGATACATACTGTTGACGTTGAACATCCCAAAAGTACTTAAGATAGAAGGGAGCTAGCAACGGGAAGGGGAAAAGAAACGAAGAGGGTAGAGAATGAGGGGAAAGGAGTGCGCGAGACAGTGAGGAACAGGGAAGGACGGGAAGGACAGGAAGGACAGGAAGAAGGATGGCAAGGACTGGAAGAACAGGAAGGACAGGAATGGCGAGAAGGACGCGAAGGCGGCGAAGAAGGCCAAGGAGGAGGAGGAGAAGGAGAAAGAACGGGGAAGTAGGGGATGAAAGGAGAGAAGGGAACGAGGGAGAGTGAGGAAGGAGGGGAATGGCGGGGACGGAAGAGGAGGGAGAACGGGGAGCAAGAAGGGGAAAGGAAGAGACAGGAGACAAGAGGAAGGGACAGAGAATGAAAAAAGGAGGAAAGGAAAGAAGAAAGAAAGTGTGCTTTAGCTGTGGAAATGTCGCAAATCTTTCGCATGATCTGACCTCGATTACTACTGACTTCAGCCGCTTTGTCCTCTTTTTGCACTTCAATGCCAGAGCACCTGTAGGGTGTTCGATGTGCGCTCTTCTGATTGTGAGGTTGACATCATCTTCAGGCTCATCCAACCCATCCAGCAATGGCTGCTGTTCCGCGCCTTGTGCCTCTTGTGCAGTTTTCGTCCTCAAAGGATGGCCTGTGTCATTCACCTGGCAGCCACTCTCCATACCCATACCTGGACCGCTAACTGGTGTCATTTCCGGCCCTTGATCCTTGCCTCTCCTTACAGGCCTCCTTTCGTCCCTGGCCTCTCCCGCCTCATCGTCCCCATCGAGCTCCTCGCTACTAATCGTTGCCATGACATCGTAGTTCTTTTCCTCAGCACAGCCAATGGCTTTCTTCTGTTCCAGTTCATCTCCCTCATGCCTACCCTTCCGTACACTTGGGCCAGGATCACCACCACCATCGCCACCGCCATCGTATTCCACAGAGACTTCGCACCGCCCACCGGGAGCATCATCACTAAACAGCAAGCTGCTGTCACCAATGCCACAGAGTTCTGGCGCACCTGACGAGTTCGAAGACGATGACAAGACAACAATCTGCTTCCCTTGCTTAGCCTGTTTCAATGGAAAGACCAGATACATACCTCAGGATCCCTGTCTTAGGTAAGAAACAAGGTCAGGGAGAATAGTCGGGTTACAAACCAGATCAAGCGGGACTTAGCTTGGACATCATCTGTCACCGGGGAACCTCCTTTGTGAGATCATATTGCATACGAAAAACCGAATTTGCGAAACGAGTGTTTCCTTACTGTGATTTCCTGGACCGAGCGACTTTGAAAAGCCCATGGGGCATTTTCCAAGGTGGAGACCATCATGTTCTGATGCGGGGGAAATGAATCCTTCTCCCATAGTGACTAAACAAGTTTTCGTCAGGTTAGAGGTCCAGGCCCATAAGCGGGAGTTGTTGTGTGATAGGCTTGAGCACCCTGCGATCAATGCAAATGTTCAGCATATAAAGCGCTGTAAACTATTTTCTCCTCTAAACTAGACAGCAACCATTCCGTCGGAAATGAACCAGACTGATGCTGCCCAGAATAAATCGGAGCCATACCTTTATGGTCCTGTTCTTTGAAGAAGAAGAAGAAGAAGAAGAAGAAGAAGAAGAAGAAGAAGACGAAGGAGAAGGAAGAAGAAGAAAAGGAGATTGAAGAAGAAAAAGGAGGAGAAAGAAGGAGGAGGAGGAGGAGGAGGAGGAGGAGAACAAAAAGGAAAAAGAAGAAGAAAAAGAAAAGGCAGCCATTCTGTACGATACAGCAACTGTGCCCCTACATGCCGTTCTGGAAAAGGCAGTTAAGTTTTTCTTTTTCAACAGAAAGAGTTAGAAGAACAGACTTATTACAGCTAAATGAAAATGAGGCCTGGGCACCTCGCAATTCTACCTACACGAAATATTGGGGCCATAACCCAGCATCGGTTATGGTGGAAACCAGTTCCAGCATCCCTCAAATAGTCACTGACATGTTCTCCTAGAGGTAGGGAGAGGCAGTTACGTCAGCAGCTGCTACGTCGATACAAGCCAGGAGCTTCTGCCCACATTCCCCTCCCCCCGTCCCACTCGCCTATACCAACAGATTGTTCCACTGCGATTCTGCGAGCTTGACTTTTCAGGCGCATAGTCCTTTTTACTTTTTCAAAGTCTTTTCCCTTTTCCTATTCCTCTTCTTGTGCGCGGATCATGGTCCCAGCGCAACAAAGACCACTGCTATTGGAATGGTACAGAGAAGATTAGCATGAGCGATGACATGCATAAATCGACAAATGCGCTCAATTTTTTGAAATAGCTACAAAACAAAACGGTAAAGGAAACAGGGAATCAGAGTGGAAACTTCCACAAAAATTAGGTTTCCAATTTTCCACCTCAAAATGCACCACAAAAAAAATAATGATTTCCTCCGTTTAGGGGATCAATCCAACCCGTTTGGCTTCAAATGCCAGTGGGGATGCAGCGTCCACAGGCCGAAGCTGGCGGAAAGCAGACAACCTGCACCAATCCATGCTGGTGGAGTCGGACAATAAGCCGGGGCTATGACACATCAACGCGGCGTCCTACAGGGGATGGGATCTTCGACGACAATCTGGAGAAACCAAGATGGTTATGGATCTTGCGAGGAACACCCACGCTGAAGCCAGACATCTACCCTCCATACGACAGCAGATGGCGGCAAACTGGGGCAAAGAGAATGGAGGAGAAAGACATAGGATTCTTGTCTAAACCAATGACTGATGAGGCCACACTCTTGGACGACAAACAAGGGCTCCAAACAATGGAGGAACTCCATCAAATCGGGCGCACAGCAGAGTCGGCATATCTCGAGAATCTAAGAGCCAGGGTGGAGGCGCAGAGGGAGGGGTCAGGTAATGACCCCTCTCAGGAGTCGACCACGGACAGAACAGAAGCGGAAGCTTCAAGGGACAATGAGGAAAGTTTGAATGTGAGGACAGCAGGAGCAGAGCAGATGGAGGGAATTTACGGCTCAAAAGAAAGTCCCCATCCCAGGCCAAAGAGCAAGAGGGAGACCAGCAGGGGAGCAAGAGAGCTGCGTCGGCAGAAAACAGCGAGGAAGTGAGTTCCCGCCGGGTTGAACAATCCAGCAGGGGGAATCCTCACCAGATGGAGCAGCGATGCCAGACCGACACTTCACATCCATGGAAATATCACGGCAAGATGGCAGCGACCAAGGAGGAGAGTCGGACAGTCGGAGGAAAGGAACAGAGGAACCACAACGAGGAGGGCAGGAAGGAAAAGAGGAGACAAGGGAGGAAGTGGAGACAGACCCGGACTTGAACTTCTCAGGCCGACGAGAAGGCACAGCACCTGAGGAAATAGTGGAAAGCTCGGATGGGAGGAGGAGGACGACGACGGCGAGGGGTATGGACACAAAGACGAAGAGCCAGTCAATTGGAGAACTGGATCCGGGCGGTACACGACCTTGAATGGGAAAGACAGGTGGAGTGTGAAGTGCAATTGGTTCACCATAAGCACCCGGAACCTCAAGCACACCACAGCACCGACGAAAGATATCACCTCAACCAACAGGTTTGAGATCCTGAGGAAGGAGCAGGAGGTAAATGAGTTCTACGCCTCGCAGTACGGCTGGAAAGCGCAGCACCACAATAACGACGTGCAGATCCAAAACGCAGGCTACACCAAGCAGTTCACGTGGCCAAAGACGTATTACCCGAGGGGACTGAAACACTCGGAAGGGAAATACAAGGCACAGCAGGAAAGTGGGACAGAAGGCGAAGAGACCAGCGCCCAAGACCAGGAGGACGACAAGGAAGCCTTGGAAGAGACCCGGATGGAAGAGGTGAAGAGACAGGCAGCAATTTTAGAGGCACAGATCAATGCACTCAAGGACCAAAACAGGGAACTGGGTTCAGGCACTACCAAACTGCAAAGAATAGCAGAAGGCCAGCAAAAAGAAATTGAAGCGGCAGCGAAGCTGCACGCCAGAAGCAAGCCGGGCCGAAGGGTCATCCTCCTGGTGAGGTGGGATGAAGAACACTCAGATTGGGAACTGGCCGTCCATCGCTGGCACTGATCTCAGCAGATGAAAGCCGATGCTAAGGGGAGGCCTTGAGGAGCCTGATAGTCGAAGGGCTGCCAACAAGAGCCTACATGATCAGAGACCTGACAGCAGGGAAAGAGGAATGGACCTGGTAAGGTTTTGCGCGTTGTATCAAATTAAACCACGTGCTCCACCGCTTGTGCAGGCCCCCGACCGTACTCCCCAGGCAGAGAGTTCAAGGCGTTAACTAGGTCCCTCATCGAATTGCCCCCAAAAACCCACCGGGCGTAGACCAAGGACCAACACTCATCATTTATGGCATCGACTATCAGGGTCATTTTGAATTTAAATAAAAAATGGACTATGTCATTCTCTGAGTTTTTTTCAGTTTTTTTTGCTGTTGTTTATCTCACTTTAAACAGTGAAGTGCGCGCTCTGCAGACAGAGCACGATCTATGGTGAAGACAGATTACAGACCTATATTATTTAAAACGCAGGAGCAGGCAGAGCTGCGAGAACGGCTGATGTGGATGCCATGGCAGGTAGTGGAAGCGATCAACTACGGACTGTTGGGGGGAGCTGTGGCAGCAGAATGTGTAGCTAGGAACGCAGCGATAGCAGTAAAGATAGACGCCTTCGCTTGGAAACTGGACTATCTGGAGAAAAGGATTGCCACGACATGAGGCCAGCTCCTGAAAGACCTAGTGCAAGACATGGAGGACGGCCTCGTTTAAACATTATCAATGCAAGATAGCCACGACATGAGGCCGGAAAAGAGACAGAGAACACAGCAGCAGTGGAAAAGAGGAGGACCAGAATTTACAGTGACTTCGTGGAACTTTAATGGTTAAGCAACCATCCTCGAGAACCCAGACAAATGGGACAATGTAATGAAGTACACACGTTGGTCCAACGCTAACCCTCCAGACTTCCTGTGCCTACAGGAGACACCTTACTACCTCGACGGAACACCAAGATTTAAGCAAAGAATCAAATAGCGGTTAAGATGTGTGAAGGACGAGCATTGGGCACCGGCGTCTAACCAGCATTCAGCGGGAGTGGTGATCTTACAGAATAAAAGGTCTTTAGCAGCGAAAAAGATTACAATAATGGGAGTGCAAACAGACAGTGGGGAGGGTAGGTGGAAAAAGCTTAACTTTACCATCCAAGAGGAACAGTTTACACTTTTCTCTATATACTGTCCTGACACACTCCAACCAAGTGCTCAATTCTTCCCAGCATTTGAGCCTGGACATACCATCATAGCAGGGGACTGGAACGCTACTCTAACACCGAGCCTGGACAGAATGGCAAGAGGTAGCAGAAATGTGGAAGGATCAGCTGCGGATGAGGCCCTCCCAATACACAATTTGATGACAAGCTGGGAGATGATAGACCCCTACAGACTTCTACATCCGGAAGAAAGACAGTTCACATTCCACAGACGGAACAGAAGTCGACACGTGTCAGCATCCAGAATCGACTACTTCCTGATATCCCAAGCCCTTATGGGGATGACTCACTCAGGAGTCATAGCGGACCTGCCCTGCACAACCAGCCGAGACCACAAGCCCATTTTCTGAACCTGACAACGGACAAACACATCCAGCGGGGAAAAAGCTTCTACAAAGTGAATAACTCTGTGTTGCAAACACAGGAAATGAGACAGGCGGTACTCCAGGCCTGCCTAGCATATGACCCAGAAGTCCATTCCTTCTCCAACTTGCCAGAGTCACTTTCAGAGGCATCGGCGGGAGCAGCAAGACAGTTGGCAGCCAAGTGGAACGCAAGGGAAAAAGAACTGCAACAGTCCTTAACGCATCGCAGAAAGCAATCTCATCAAGAACCCGGGTACAGAGCTGTACGAAAGAGCATTGGAAGCGGCTCGCACGGAATTGGGTGATTGGGAAAGGTGGCGGGCCACGGGGCTGCAGATGCGAGCGCGGGAAAAGGAATGGGAAGAAGGGGAAAGGATGACAAAGTATTTTTTTCAAAAAATTAAGAGCAGGGGACAGAAGCGCAGCAATAGAGCAGCTACAGTGCCCA